AATTATTTATATATATTTTTTTCAATATGAGACTTATAAGAGATAAAAGGATTTTTTAAAAAGTTAGTGAAAGTAGAGCTAAAATATTTAATTTATTTAATTAAACTTACTAGAGCTGTTTTCAAAAAGTCAAATCAAACTCCTTTTGTCTTTGATTTTTTTTTTTTTTTAGTACAACCGGAGAGAATGGAAACGAACTACATCCTGGGAAATAAAATTCCCATAGCGTCCCCTAATAATAAGGAAGCCATGTCCGAAGGTGGGGACGGCAAGAAAGTCGTTCCGTTTGGTGAAGAGTGGCCCAAGGAGGCTATCCTTTTGTCTTTTATGATTACGTAAATACTGTTACAATTCTAAACTAAAAAATATAAAAATAATAAAAATAATTCTTTATTTTTATTTCCATAAAAAAATCAACCGAAAATCCCACAAGTAAACTGCGATACCTCATTCGATCCAACGACAAGGCGTGAAAATCCCAGATGGCAATCGATGTACAAGCACACAAGGGAAGAAACAGGGAATAAGATGGGCTAAAACGCAAAGCAAAACGACGTAGAAGCTTCAATTCTTGAGGCAGCATTTGTCTTTCTTTTAAAGGGTGTGTAAACAGCCCAAAATCTGGCAACCGTGGAGGGATTGAGGGCGCGTTCATCGTTGAAGCAAGCAATCTCCGATACCAACAACGACGACGAGGTGTGCAGGCCTTGGCGTCGTAGGTTGTCCATGGCTTTTACCTGGGGCTCAGCTCTCAGAATCAGTCTCCTTGTCCTCCTCCTTGCCGCGGTTATATTTGCCTGTTTCACTCTGCCTGTCGAGAAGGTAGGCTTTTCTCATCTGGGTATCTCTTGTTTTCCCCTCTAGATCCTCAATTTTGCTTCTTTATATTGATATTTCGTGTATTTTTCATCTGGGTATTTGTTATTTTACCTACTCTTTTTATGCTTTGGATCTTCTCATTTGGGTATCTCTTGTGCAACGTTTTCGCTTACTTCCGCGTATTTAAGCATGTGTCGTCTTGAAGGCTGGGTTCTTTTAAGGTTTTAAAATTGTATGCAAAATTTTTTACTTTTGCTGATATTTTTCTGCAATTGTTTTGCAATTCTCATGTTCATGCTTTTATACCACACCTGCATAGCAAATTATATATCTGTTGAAAGAATTTCATCAGAATTGGGTACATTAATAGAGCCCTCTTTCATGGGGCAAAGAGCTTCAAATCTTCAATTAGTCATTCTCAACTCATTTTGATTTCTTTACCCTGAGCTTTTAATACATTTGCACTGAGTGCTTAGTTAAGCCATAATAAGCCATACAGTGTAATGTTGTCAAAGCACCTAAGAAACTGGAAGTGAGTATGAGGTGTGTCTGTCTTCTCATCTTAGTCTCCTCATTCAATTTTATATATGAAAATGAATTGTAATTACTCTTAATTGTATTGGGTCTGTAGTGGTTGTGCCAACACCTGTGGAATATGTTATGCATCCCGTGCTTGAAATGTACTAGTACCTCGAGCATTCTGGTTTTGAAGCCTATTTGTGAATCATGTTATGTTCTACGTATTGATGAAAAAGAGCTGCCTTGCAGATTTTGAAGGATTTTTTGTTATGGGTTAAGACGGATCTTGGACCTTGGGGTCCACTGGTGCTGTGAGTCATTTATAACTTTCTACTATCCTGTGATTTAATTTTCATCTTTTATAATTACACTTGTTCAGTCTCTCATCTTTGTATGAGGAATACCTAAGTTAAATTTTTGTTGTGTTTAATCTGTTACTTAGGCACTTAGGCTATGAACTAGTTAACTAAACATGGTTTAAAGCTGAAAATCTAACTTTTTAGACCTTCAACTTATGTCTCTTTGCTTGGCATACAGGGCCATTGCTTATATTCCATTAACGGTCTTGGCAGTTCCAGCTTCAGTTCTTACTGTAAGTATTGGAGTTCCATTTTCATGCTTTAGTTAGCCAAATTTGCTACCTTCTCTAACTCATAGACATTGTGCTTTGAGTTTCTTGTCATTTGTAAAACTTTTTCTTTCACATTCTACTTTGCTACGTCAAGTTATTCATTGTCACGTTTGTTTTATTCTTTATGACATTCAGTGAGCTTTCATCCAGCATCAGTTTTATTCTTCAATTGTTGTTAGCTCAACACTTTTAAGTAAGGTTGTAGGAAGCCTTTTGGAAGCGTTGACCATTTATCATTCATTTATTTTGTTTAAAATGTACATATTTTGTTTCTCATTTATTGAAGGGTAGAGTTTTCAACAATGTATTTGCATTATGAGTAGTTAATGATTACATCTGCCAATATTTTTGAAACTGTTCAACTTCTTGTTGCTGTTTTATTGTCTTGCATTGTTTGTAGAGAATTTCTTTTTTCTTAATGAGTTTACATTCTATGCATGATAATACATTAAAACCCCTCTTCACACAATGTTAAATAATCAAATTATTTATTCAATCTTATTTGTTCCTTAATATTCATCTTTCAGCTTGGTGGTGGCTATCTTTTTGGGTTGCCTGTGGGTTTTGTTGCTGATTCTATTGGTGCCACCATTGGGGCAGGAGCTGCATTCCTTCTTGGTAGAACAGTAAGTTTTTATGTTCTTATTATGATGTTTACTTCACACCCTTCCTAATTATAGTTCCCATGGTTTCTGTATTTAGAGTTTTCATATGTAACTTGTAATAATAATTTACATAATGAAGTCATTTTGACTTATTGGTGTGAAGCAGATTTCTCTTCACGAATAGCATTTCTTTGCCTTGTCTTTAACTGTTCTTGTTTTCTTATCAGATTGGGAGATCATTTGTTGTTTCCAAGTTGAAGGATTATCCTCAGTTCCGGTCAGTTGCAATTGCCATTCAGAAATCTGGTTTCAAGGTTTGTATTTGATAATTAAAAAGCTTATGTGTTACTGACTAGAGCCTAGAGGGCTGGAAGTAGCAAGCAGCAGAATTAGATATTGTAAATAAATGCAACGGGTTCTGATGAGTATAGCCTTGATTATGCTGCTTAAATATTTAGGTTTTATTCATGAAATGGAAATGAAATTAATAGTAAGTTCATAAATATCTGGAATTTTGTGCATTTCGTAATCTGAAGTTGGGTTGTTCGGTGAATATTTTTTCCATAGAATATTATGTCCTATGAAAGTTAATCTTGAATGTATAAAGTATTATTATAAACTGCTGACTGTTTATTTTGTTGATTGCCCAAATCTTCTTTGAAATTCTTTTTTGGCCATTTTCTATGTGAAATTCAAGAACATTCTTTTGTTGTACAGATTGTTTTGCTGCTTCGGCTTGTACCCTTACTCCCATTCAACATGTTGAATTACCTCCTTTCTGTGACCCCAGTTCCTATAGGACAATACATGCTGGCTTCCTGGCTAGGAATGATGGTATTTACTTCTCTATTGACAATGATTTGTTATTATTTATTTGAATGTGCTAATATACACATTAATATACAGATTCCCTGAAATTTGTTCCTGTATTTATTTGTCTGATGTGTAAACTAGATTATCCTTTGAGACAATATGTACTATGTACTGCTTTGATTTTCCTTTGTGTAATTGTTAATTTGGTACTCTATGCATGGATCTCTAACCCATGAGGTGAATTGCCATATTAGGCACAATTGTTGTCTGAATAATATCTGTAACCTTGTTATATCTACCCCAATATTTTCAGAACCTTAGTCTGCATGGTAAATCATTTTTAAAATTTTAATTGAATTGATTTCATAACAACTAGTGCACTGAAATCCATGTAAATCATCTACACCAATATTTTCAGAACCTTGGTCTCCATGTTAAATTGCTAATTACTGAGCTTTATCTTTTCTCCTTTGTTCTTTCCCTTTAATCCATGTAGTGCATTTTTTTTGGCTGTCAATCCATGCAGTGCATTGGTTGAGACCATTTACAGTTAAGAAAGCTGTAGATTTCCCTTGTTAATAAAGCATATATCCAGTCATATGGCTCTCTATTTGTTTATGGAGTTTAATTTTGGAATCCTAGTAATGTATCTTAATGCTGAATCTGGTTTTTGTTGCAGCCAATAACCCTTGCCTTAGTATATGTTGGAACAACTCTTAAGGATCTTTCTGATGTGACACATGGGTGGAGTGAATTCTCGAAGACGCGTTGGGTAAGCCATATTATTATCATATTCCTTTTTTATTTTTCTTTTAAATTTTATAAATTTTTGTCATCACATGGTTTACCGAAGTTAAAACCTTTTGTGCATGAGTTATGTTGAGATGGGAAAATGCAGAATATATTAGTTTGTTTCAAGTTGATTTTCTGTAGTTTCTGTTGTCAGGAGTGGGCATCATATCACACATGATATGGAAATTTTTTATATAGTTGTCAATTAAAACTAGAACTTACATAACGGTGCCCTTGTTGTGTATGCAGGCATTTCTCATATTGGGTCTTGCAGTATCTGGTAAGTTACAATCATTTATGAACATATTCTCTCTATCCCCTTTTTTTGGTCCCTTTGGGGAGGGGAGGGGAGGGAATGGTGGGGTGGCAGTCAGTCACAACACACAACTAGGCATTTCAGTACATTTAAGTTCTAGGATCTGAAGAATTAGTTTTTATGCAATTTTATTTGATGGAAATGGTGCTTGAAAGAAAAATAAATGTATTAAGTCAAATGGAGCACAAGTTGCACATTTATATCTCCTTTTTCTCTTTTTGTGCAGTGATTTTAATGGTTTGTGTTACAAAAGTTGCCAAATCTGCTCTGGATAAAGCTTTGGCTGAAAATGAGGATGTAGATGTCATCATGGGCTCACCACAATTGCCCATTGTGGCTGAGCCAGCTTTGGATCTCAACCAGCCTCTTATAATCAAGATAGACTCTCCGGAAGACACTCATGAAAATTGAATCTCAGAAATTTTTTGTAAATTCTTTAGCAACATTCTTCAAAACCCCTGCATCTTATCCTCATCATACGTGGTCTGTGCAGTTGCCTGATTCACAAATTTAGTTGTGGACAGCATTAGTTTACTACAGAGATGAGAATACATTTTCTGAGTGTAGCTTATAAAGAATTTAATGAATTAATTGCTTTATTTTTTGGGATACACATGTTATGCTTATATTAATTTACTATAGCACTACTCAGCTTTTCTCTATGGCAAATCACATCTTTTTCCACATCACAGGAGAAATGAACAATTTTGTTATCGACAATCATGTGGTAATGTTTATATTTCTGGCTACGTTGGTCTTCTTTTTTGTTTTTATCCATTTTTTGTGTTTTTTTTTTTCAATAACATTGATTTAGTCAAAGATAAGCTATTCACACCCGAATTATGGGATTTAATTCCTCTACCAATAAGAGATGATAAAGATTTGAATCACTTTTTCAGTTAGACTGACGTGAAAATGTGGGAGGATCTGAGAATAGTTCCTGAAACCATCACTTGGGAGGCACTGCTCTGTTCACACGTCTAAATCCAACAACCCTGCTGGAGCAGCAAATATTAAAATGAGAGATTTGACTTCCAGCAAAAAGGAAATGTTGTTAAAGACTTGAACAGGAGAAAATCAAAAAGTAGATTCAATGGTAGAAGATGAAGCAACATCATATGCAGCTTCATCACGGTGGGAGCCCCATTGGTCTCTTTTCACCTTCCCAAACAAACATCACAGAAGCCAATTGCTCCCTTTTCATTAATTTTCTTTCCCATTTTCTCAACTTTTCCACCCTCATCTTGCCTGAAATTTTGGGGTGTGGGGTTGGGGACCCAGTCTTCATCTTTTCTCAAAGGCTTGATTTCAGGGCAAGGTATAACTTCTTCAGTGCTTCTTATACTATCAATATCTATTGGATTAGAATCTAGTGATGATTCACCTATTGGTGGGCCATCCATCTAGTAATCACAGCCATTGATTCAAAGATCGAAAAATGCACACCACCATAAATTGTTCTTTCTAGTATATATTCTATGCTTGAGTTACAAGATATTAGTTGAATTGTCTAAACCAGCAGAATGCAAATGATTTCAAAGTTGAAGGTGACCAAACATCTCGAGACCCTCAAAGGAAAAATGTCAGGAGGGTTCAGGATTTTTCCCTTTGGTGGATGCTTTGATGGGTGTCGCGATCATGCGCAGGCATCAGGTGGATTCGGGACGAGAATCTGGAACCTGAGTGACCGACAGGTGGAGCTTCAGGTAAGGGTGGGATCAATTCTGAAGAAAGTTCACACCTTGAAGCCTGGTGGTTCAAAGAGGCTGAAGTGCAAGAGCATATACAAGGCCTACATGCCTGGCAAGAGTGGAGGCATGAAGAGCATGCTATATTACTATGATGAGACATGTCACCCTTACATTTGGGTGCATGACACAGGAGGAGATTCATCAAGAATGGTAAAGCAGCAGTACATTAGTCTTGAAGACCTAAGGGACTATTCTGAGATAAGAATCTTCAGGGATCATCAACGAGGCTGCATATCTGTCCGCAAGAAACCCCGGCAGGATTTTTGCTGAAACTATCAGCTCCATGATTCCCAAGTCATCTTAATCCCCCCAGCACGCTTATGTGTTTGATCATGGCATTATGCTAATGTCTGTTCTTTCTTCTTACTCTTCTTTTTTCCCCTTTGCATCAGTTTATGATCTTTGTTGTTCTTCACTTAATTGTGGCTCGGTAAAAAGATTATACTGTTTGCCAAGAATGAATATATATACTTGTAGCATTCCATTTTGATGGATAAGTCTAATCAGTTAGAAACTGGATGATACTTAATGTGGAAGTTTTTCTTTTAATTCTCAAAGTTATTTATTTCTGCTTTCAGAAGAAGTTTATTGCAATGGTTAGGAAGTATCTGTCAAAGTACCCTTTTTCTGGTTGTACTCATCTGTTGAAGTTTCATTTTTGCTGTTCTTTTTTCTTTATTCTGAACTTTGGCTAGTTTTTCATTTTTTTTTTTTTTTTTTTTGAACAAGAACAATTTTGGGTAGGAGAAGGGAAAGGGTTTAAACCCAGCTCATGAGTTAGGAAGTACACCTTTTAACCAAATGGCCTGTAAGGTCAAGTGCGAACTTTGGTTAAGTTCTCACTGCAGTAACCTGTTGAGCTCAAGTTATGAGCATGGATGTTTGGATGGAAAGAAAATGAGAATGAAAATTGATTATGAGATATAATAGCTTCCTGAGGCCTGCAGAGATGACTTTGAGAGTGGAATGGATTGCTTTGCTGGCATGTTGCGGTGATCATAATTGTGTCGCTCAACAAGTTTATGTCATGATCTTGAATTTAATTAAGCGTGCTTGTCGTCTTGGGACCATATGATGTTTAGCAAAGACTTTAGAGTCCACTTTTGTAAATTATTTGTGCTTTGCAACTGGACCTTGTATCTCGTGTTAGGTTGGGTTGAGTAACTGCCTTGGT